AATGTAATCAATATGATTAGCGAAAGTCAACTTGTCATCAAACAAGACTCCTAGATCTCGTACTGCCACGGCTTTAGTAATAATGATACCATTAAAGTGATAGTCGTAGGTTACAGGGTTTTTCTTTCGTGTATAACAAATATATTGACACTTTGTTACGTTAACAGTTATTTTGTTTAAAATGTAATAATCATGCAAATTACAAAGGTCTTCCTGAAGCGCACTACAATCATCAATTGACCTTATTTTATAGAAAATTTTCTTGTCGTCTGCATACATTAAATGTTCGGAACTCCTAAAGCAGTCAGCAATATCGAACAAATACGCGTTGTAGAAAAGAGGCCCCAAGTGAGAACCCTGTGGCACGCCACTAGGTATATCGACAAAGTTTGAACGGTACCCACCCATCACCACAGCTTGCGACCTTTTAAATAAATATGATTGAACCCACCTTAAAAGGTCCCCCCTTATGCCCAGTCTATACAATTTGCTCAGCAGTATATCATGATCTACACGATCGAAGGCTTTTTCAAAATCCGTATAGATAACATCCACCTGTCCTCCTCCGTCTGTGTTCTTAAGGACAAAATTTGAGAAACTTGCTAAGTTCGAGACAGTGGATCGCCTTTTTAAGAAACCGTGCTGCTTGTCAGATATGCCTCTGAGTATATAGGGATAAATTGCTTTATAAACCAGCTTCTCAAATACTTTGCCCAAGGTGTTAAGTATAGAAATACCCCTATAATTCTCAATAACCGTTCGCGAGCCCTTTTTATGTATTGGAACAATGTGTGCCTTTTTCCATTCCTCAGGAAAAACACCTTCTTTTAATGATGTATTAAATATTGAGCTAATCGGTAGTGCTAACGTTTTTGAACAGTGTTTCCAGAATAGTGGAGGCACTCCGTCACAACCAGGTCCTTTATCAACGCTTAACCCCCTCAACGCCCCCTCCACTCTAGACGAGGTAAATTGTAAATCACAAATTATGTTCGAACAATCTTCGTTCTCTTTAAAAATAATCGGAGAACTACAATCAGTAGCTTTGCTAAATACACCATGGAAAAATTCATTGAAAGCTTGTGTGATTTCATGTCCCTCAGTATAATTTACATTATTATGAGACATTATTTTTGGGTAATTTGAGCCTCCACGCATACTTTTGATATAGGTCCAAAACATTTTAGGATTCTTTATCACAGCTTGTTCAGTCTTTTGCATATACTCACTAAAGCAAATTCTCTGAACTCGCCGCTGTCGCGCCCGTAACATAACAAATTCGTCGTAGTCTAGTAGATTTCCAAAACGCTTCCAGCGCGAATGAGCCTTACTTTTTTCCTTAATTATTCTTATGAGTGAACTACTATACCAATGAGGATATTGACGCGAGCTTATTTTTCGGTTAATAGGCACATATTTATCGATACCCGCTTGAACGGTTTCATAAAAATTATGAACGGAACTATATACCAAATTTCATCAAAATCCATTGAGTAGTTTTAGTGTGATTGACGGACTAACATCCAAACATCCAAACAAAGAAACTTTCACAAATTAGTGTGATTTTCACGAAATGAAAAATGTCCGAATATTTTTACCGTTTCCTACAAGTAGCGCCCTCTATCCACAATAGATTATATCACATCGCTGTGTGAAATTTAATGCCATCTAGTGCACGTTTTCCTCAACTGCACACCATGCATGCAGTAACTTGGCAAATTGCTAATGCACAATAATTGCAGTTCAATTGCCGCACAAAACCACTATTTGTGAGATTCGCAAATAAAATTTGATTCCTATTGACATTTTTGCGAAAGTGCGAAATCACTTAACAATTAATTTTTAAAATTGGTATGTGTGCAAAACAAACACAGAAACATTGAACTAAAAATATATTTCCTAACAACTAAATAACTTAAACATTTTAAACTTCATCAACTAGTTTAAATCTCTGATGTTGAGGTTGCGGTATGACATTGAAGTACTTCTTCATAATAACTTGTTGTTCCCGACCTCCATACATTCTCTGCACCCAAGTGTGTTCCCAGTTAGGGTCAAATTTCTCACAAGTCACCACTACTTTACCAGCTTCCATTGCGAATAGTGTGCCATTTCTGCCAAAGCCAACCTGTAAAATAAATATTACCTTATTACAAGCAGCTCGTTTCAACTTCAAACAAGTTTAAAACCTTGACTAAGGAAAACAAAATTAATAATTTGAAATACATTTTATTGCTTATAATATATACCCATCAGCAATCATCACTTACGTTCAATCCTGGATGAAACCTTGTCGTCCTTTGAGTGGCCAGCATATGACCGGCTTGAACAAAATGTCCATCTTGTACTTTCCACCCTCTACGCTTTGGCTTCACCTTACAATTCGTATTAGACGTACTACCACCAGTCTTCTTACTGGCATTACGAACAAACTCTGGAAATAAATTGGAATTTATAGAACGCCCAATGATAACATAACCTATAAATACTATTTTATTTATGACTCACCTTTTAGCACAGAATTAACTTTGCCAGTACCTAGCAAGAAGTTTAAAGACATTTTTATTTATATTTTGGCAATTAAATTAAGATTTTAATACAATAATTACTGATTAAATAATAATACAAACACTGATGGTCACTTGACAGCCAGTGAGTGACAGTGATAGCTGACACTACTGACAGACAAGCTGAGCTGACAGCAAAAGCAAAAGTATCCTCGTTTTGATACGAATAATGCAAATGCAATCCCTTTCGTAGAATTCGAAAAAAAAAACACAATCCCGTAATTTTAATCTTTGATGTAATAGACCTAGATGCAATTAATAATAATACTATTTTATTGAATTATAATTTCCAAAAATATGTGGATAGAGTAGCGTGGGATGACAGCAAGACGAATGTTGCTTCGATTGTGACACCTTTGACAGAAAGTCAGAAAATAAAATTGTCATTATTGTCGTTGTCACTATCGACCGACCTCAATGCTTCAAATCGAAATCAACAAAACAAGCTGAAAGACAAAAGTACAGAACTGATTTGTTTAATTTTATTGTTTTATTACCTTACGTTTGGTGTACGATAAAACACATTAGTAAATCTCTATGAAAATAAAAGTAAATAAATAATACCACGTGTGTAACAATGTCTTCCGACCCGCTAAATATTGCAAGACGCAAGCTCAACGATGTGCTCGGTGAAAAATCAACAAAATATTTCAATCACATGAAACAGTGGTTTCGTATGAAGTTAACTAAAGAAGAATTTGATGCTGAAGCTCGTAAATTGCTATCTACGGATCAAGTGCATTATCACAATGAGTTTTTGCTGGCGTTATTGAATAAAGTCGAAGGATTAGCTGAGGCTTCGATTAGCATTGCTCAAGAAAAAGCCAGTTCTCACAATAGGAACAGTAGGAGGCACAAAAGAAGTTCCCGTACCTCGGAGAAGTCTAACTTCGAACCTGTGGACTTGCTGGAGTATTTACCGCCGAACTCACCTCCAGGAGCAGGAAGTGATGGCGTCAAATATGCTGCACAGGTAAGAATCATATCTTATTACTGTATATATTTTTATTTTCATCATTTGTTTAACTGCTTCTGTTTACTGCTGCTCATAGACCTCTTTAAACTGTCAAACCAAGCGGTCACTGGTGACCGCAACCTATTGTTCTATAATTGTGTCTATAATGACGGTACTCACCGAGTTAATATGCCACTGAACTCCATCTTTACCCCTTGTTCCACTGCCTGTCGCTGTGTAAACTAGCCAATGATCCGTAAAATTATTTTGATTGTATTGTTTATTTTTCTATTTATCCTCTTTACAGGAAATATTTCTACCAGACCACGCACTTGTTGTTGGTCGTTTCATGTTGGCTGCCTGGGAGACTGGACTTGAAGGGGCTGACGATGATGCAGCTGATGTTATAGTTGTAGCCGTGCAGCATTTCCTCAAGAATGTTATTACCGCAGTATTGTCACAGAGGAAGGGTTATAAGATGAGGAACAAACATTTTATGTATGATGTCGGTGGAGATGTACCCAACATGTGGTTGAGGAACTCTACCAAGTTATATGACCCTCAACGAGACGGTAGAGTCAGTGTTGACGAAGGAATGACTGACTTACTAGGTCCCAGGTGTCCTCCAACTATCGATGAAATGGAACACTCCGCTGCTTTTGAAATCGCTTGCAGGTGAGAAATAAATACAAAAAATATCTACTTAAATTCTATTTACATTTACAAACTACACACACAATACATTTGATACATTCTTACAAGTCAATACAAAATATTAAATACAATAATGTAAGTACATAAATGCATGCATGATTTAGATACAATATTTACAAATTGGAAAGAAAATATTTTTTTGTCTCTTGCAGTGCAAACACGGAGCCTAATGATGACAAATTGACCATAGACGAGTTTTACAACACATTGTTGGTACACAAAAATGTCATATCTTGTCATTCTGTTTATGCTGTCAATATGGAAAGGATAGCTTCTTTATTAAACCATCCTAGTATATAAGTTTAACAATTATTATTATAGATAATATGATAATTATAGTTTGAGTTTCATTTAGTAAATTGTTGTAGTGTTACAACATTAAATATCTTTCATAAAATATTTCAAAATTATTATGGTTGGTAACATTGAAATAATGTAATTAACTGCCATGTTGCTCTCGTGTCTGTAAGGGTAACCTCTGGAACTAAAGGTCCTTAGACTAAACCCCAGGTTAAAATATTACAAGTGCAAAATTGTTAGTATGTTTGGTTCTCTTCTTACTAATACTAACGCTTGTCCTCTAGAGGATAACAGACGTTACCAAAATATGCGAGTTCCAATACTGATAAGTTCACAATTGTGATACCCAAAAATATTTCGTCTAACCTGGGATTCAAACTTAGGACCTTGTGATAATAATCTCACTTGCAAACACTTGTTCAATATAGCAGTCATTAAGAACTGAAGTTGTTATTAATGTACCTTGATCAATAATATAATTATTATAAGCAATAAATTTTAATAATTGAACTTATTACTATTTTATGTCTAATATTTTAAATATTACACAACAATATAATAACAGAATTAATTTATTCTTATTATTACATAACAAACATTAAATTAAAATAAATGATTTATTAATCACATCCTCAATTATCAATATTCGAAATAAATTGATTGAAATTTATTAAAATTAATTGTAAAACCATTGCGCGTTTATTAATGACAGATGTGAAACAAAATATTTTGCAATAGATTTGCATTAACTAACTACTCAAAGACATTACTTAGGAGGTGGGTGATTAGTTTATCTATACTTTTAATGGCAGTAATACCTAATGTCTTATTTATGGCCAGTCTGGATAACTTATGGCGCTAAACCGATAGCCTACCAAGAGAATAGAAAACTCAATATTCATGAGTTTGAACGCAAACATATACTACTTATACAGTTCATTATGTTTTCTATTTTCGTGACATCGATTTGGCTACCAACTTTGACACAGTGTGTAGCTGGCCTTTTTTATTTTTTAGTAAACTGGCCGATTATAACTATTTTTTTTTAATTTGAGCACTGAGAGTGAGACAATGACGAACTAGGTTCCGTTGGTGATTCTACGACCAGTCTCGGCAAACTTAGAGTACGCGAGGGTCCTGGAAGCGCCTGCATCTCATGAACGTCACCTTCTTCGTTAGGTCTTATTTTCACACACAATTGCCGCCTCCACACAACCATGCCTATTACGACGACCACGAGCAGAAACCCAAGCAGTCCGAGTAAATATGGCGCCACTGAAGCTGTTGTTATTTTGTAGAAGCCTGAAAGTAGTGCATGTTAGACTTTGGGGAAATAATTGGTACTTATTTACGTATTTACATAACTTATTAGTAGTTTTCTATGCTTATTATGTTAATTTTAGTTGTAAATACTTTAGTTTTTATTTTTTAACCCGAGTTATTTATTGTTTAGTTTATATCTATGTATAGATAAGTTTTATTTTTACAATCTTTTGTTAAAAATAATTATAACAATAAACTAATATTTTGAATGGTACATCAATTACGTACTGCTACGATAGTCGAGGTAAATCGACGTAAAATCAAGAAGTATTCGATTCCCAGGTTCCTAGAATGATAGGGCTCACTACTGATACGTGGGAGGTGGGACTTATTTAACACTAGGTTCTGCCTGCGGCCTTGCTTGCCCGTGGGATAAATACCCTGAGTTGAGTAAAAAACATACACACAAGCTTTCGCATATTTATAATATTATAGTAAGAAGTTAAATAACTGGTGAAAATTGCATGTTACATTGTATATGCGCACCGCTGCCTACTCCTTTGTAGAATAGAAAGATTGGTGCTATATTATGTTACAGTTAATTTAATAAAACATTTGAATATGAGTGAGCACTTTAGATGAATTAAGTAGCCGTCTAGCACCAGCAAAACTGCTGTTGACCGCACGGTTGGTGCGGGTGGCTGGGCAACGGTTAGCGGGTTCGCTTCCCACACAGAGCAACTCTTTGTGTGACCCACAAATTGTTGTTCCGGGTCTGAGTGTCATGTGTATGTGAACTTGTATGTTTGTAAACGCACCTACCACACAGGAGAATATTCTAGGTATATTTACATTTACAAACGTACAATATACATGCACGTCACAACCAGACCCGGAACAATAATTTGTGAATCATAGAATGGGCTGTTTGGTGTGCGAATGGAATCGCCATTGCAGTCTTGCTGACTAAGCATTAGTAGGCTCCTCACAAGTGAGCAAATATTGATATCTACAGAAATCTACACAACAAATGTTATTCAGTATAAGCTGTTAGCTCTAAGAGCTGTTAAACCCAAACTCATTTATCCATTACAAATCAAAGATGTTGTGTTAAACATCTCTTTTGAAAGCGATCTACAGGTGGGTAGGTCCCTAATGAGGACTGACGTTTTTTTGCTGACCACATGGTGCTAATGTAGCGGTTAGGTCCCATTCGTCCAATCACTGTAGCTGTCAAAAATTAACTGTCCAATCGGATGACAATAGGAAATTATTGAACAAATTAGACCTCACGCCGCATTAGCACTATCTGAGAAGCATGAAGACGTTAGCCCTCATTATTATAACGTGGTAGATTACTACGATATAAACTAAGATTTGGAACGAAAATAAATATGACTCACCATGTACATACACATAAACGGTGTCGGTGTATTCCTTTCCATCCTCAAGGCTAGCCCCACAGGTCCATAGACCCATGTCTTCTTCCGACGTAAAGAGAATATTCACAGCGCAATCGCCACGGTCCAAACTCTTATTTCTTGGGAAGAAATATTTTCCTTGAATTGGGCTGGAAAAAAACATTTTAGGTATTATGTATCACGTCATTATATGTAAATGGACAAGCTTGATCGTAGTGATACCGCGATCACGGTTTTATATAAAAAGTGTGGGAGAGTCATGCTTCGACACGGATGGGCCGGCTCGACCGGAGTGATACCACGGCCTCACAGAAAACCGACGTGAAACAAAGCTTGCGATGAGTTTCGTCGTGTGAGTGAGGTTATTAGAGGCCCAATTACACCCCTCCCTAGTCTCCTGAATCCCCGAATCCTCCACAATCCTCAAATTCCCAATTCCCAAAAGGCCGGTAACGCACTTGTAACGCCTTGGTGTTTCGGGTGTCCATGGGCAGCTCCGATTGCTTACCATCAGGTGATTCGCCTGCTCGTTTACCGGCTTATGCTATCATAAAAAAAACGGCGCGAAACAACTTATTCAACTGCAACTACAGTGTGTACATGGTCACAATTTGTTGGTTGCTGTACATTCTAAAGACTATATAAATCTATACTAATATTATAAAGAGGAAAGATTTGTTATGTGTTTGTAATGAATAGACTCAAAAAGTACTGGGCCGATTTAAAATATTCTTTCACCAATAGAATGCTACATTCTTCCAATTTGACATAGGCTACATTTCATTTAGAAAAAAATTAGAGATCCTTGGTAAAATTTGAACAATGTAACCGAAGGTGTAGAAAAATGAGTGTTAATATGTCTTTCGTCGAATGCGCTGCCGAAACTATTAGCGATAGAACAAAATAATGTACAACAATATTGAAGAACATCATAATATCTACAAAAAATTCCGCGGTAGCATATGTCCAACTATTGTAGTTATGTCACTACAACAATCCAAATTTCCAAAAATAAATAATTGTCTACCCCGTGCGAAGCCAGGACGGGCTGCTAGTCCATTATAATTAGTGTGATTAGTGAGTCCTTATAAAATGGGCTTGGATAAAGACATGGTTATTCATGACAGAAGATAAACCTACTTACTTGTCTTTCGTTATATCAGCGTTAATGCTGAACGGTGGTCCATTGGGCGGTTCGAAGCGGCAGTACGTCAAAGGTTTCATTCCTCTAATAGAGGCGCAGGATACTAATCCAAGACTATGGTGAAGTAGGGAGATATTCTTCCAGACAGCTGCTACTGGATCTACTACGCGAACTTCGATTAATTTTACTTTTTCCAGTCCCGTGACATGTGTACCCATGTGGCAAATCCATAAGCCATTATCCGTTTTTGTGGTCTTCACCTTCAGGGAGCAGTATCCTGCTTTTAGAGTAGATTCTGCAACACTGACGGATTGATGTTAAGTTTTATTAGTGAACTGTTTAGATAAGCAATAAAGCAATTAAATAAATAATGATCCTGGTAAGTACCTAATATCTAAAAGTACTTAGGTATCTAAATTATAGGTACCTATGTAGGTACATAGCTACTTTCATAAACTAGGTAGGTAGGTGTGTGAAAATGTAATCAACAATAGTAGGTTGGTACTTAAATAAAAATGCTAGAAGCTGTAAGTAGCGAGGCTTATCTAAATATACTATAGATCTTTATTTAAATAAAGATCTGAACAAATAGCAGTTACTAAGAAGCATAAACTTCAGTGGTCGTTAAAGAACATAATATTGTGATAACATTACTTATTTAGCTATATCGTTAATTTTGTCATTAGCTACAACGTAGATAAACTCCGACCAAACTGTTGACTTAACAATAAGTAAAATAAGAGGTAGGTTAATATTTATTTTCCATACCTCATTTAATTTTACAGCTAGAAGCGCATTGGTTAAGTTACTTAAACGTCTAGGCCTATGTAATATAGTCTTACTATTTACCAAGCTGATAAATTAATGTATGATATAATAATATAGGTCCTACGTAGCTTCCTATGTATATGGAATCAAATTAATTTCCTTAATAAGGTATAAGTAAGGTATAACTTGGTAACAGCAATCAAGATTAATGAATTTTAGACACCATACACCTAATTTTTCCATTATTACATTATTAACAGCGTGTAGGTGGCCACTGCTGACCAATGGCCTCTTCTCGCATGGAGAAGGTATGTATGGTGTATCAATTATTACATAGGTACTTGAAAATCACGAAAGCGGCCAACGATATATTACAATCATCGAAATAAGTACTTACGAAAATCTCTGCCCCATAGGATTGCGGAACCCGCAATAAGATAGTCCCACGTCTGCCTTGCATTCCAAATCAAAGCTTTCACCTTCCAGAACCAATACAGTTTCTCTACCTTTTTTATCATAATACCTCCTATAACCTGTTAAGTACAACAAATTCATTAAAAAAATACTTTGAACACAAAATGTTTTAAAACTTTTTTTAAGAATTTGTACTATAGGTACCTTGGACTCGCACAGTATAATCTAAAGCGATTATAATTAAAAACGTGAATAATAAATTAATGTTACACATTTTGGACCGTTAGCACTTGTGTTGCGGGCGACTGCTGTGATATAATAATCGAAAGTACTGTAAAATGAACTACCCTCAGAGCTGTGATAATTATATGTCATAGGTCGACGTCGGTGTTACAGTTGCACATAAGATAACTTCGAGACAAATGTTAATGAATGTAATTAATCTTTGTATTAATTACTTTAAAAAATATCAGTTTCTATGTAAGAAACGTCGCGTGGTATACACTTGGTAATTACAAATAATAATGAAATATTTATTTTTGTTTATGTGGGTGCTTTGTTGAATTTAAATTTTTAATGAAGGGCGTGAAATTTCCTAATACCCGTAGTATTTTTGTTTTGTTTGTCGACAAAGGAACTTTTAAATAAAAGGGCTAGTATTGAATAGAATAGTGTACTGTGATAAATTGCGTCACACTTTGTTTATTTGGGATGGAACTATCTTCATTCTTGTGTGTAAATTATATTTAGTATAAAAAATATTTTTGTTTTTCAATGTTTATGTTGTGTGTTAATTTTCGGTGGTCCATGTCTGGTAGCGAATAAATTATTTTTCTTTCTTTCTTTTCTTTCTTTCTAAATTGTTTTGTATGATAATCTTGTTTATACTATTCTACTGCTGCATAATTATTTCTAGCATAAACCAGTACATTTTACTCAACTCAATACTATAATACCAATACTATATGCTTACTCCTTTCTAAAAGGCACTTATAACTCCTTTGGCGTTGCAGTTCTCCATGAGCGACGGGGATTACGTACCATCATGTGATTCGTGGGTTCTTTAGCCAGGGGAGAAACCCCATATAATAACATTAAGTGTGGGAGAGACATGCTTCACGAATGGGCCGGTTCGACGGGAGTGATACCACGGCCTCACAGAAGACCGACGTAAAACAACGCTTGCGTTGTTTCGTCAGCCGTTACGTTATGGCCGGTAACGCCTCTGGTGTTCCAGTTGTCCATGGGCGACGCCGATTGCTTACCATCACATGATCCGTCTGCTCTTTTACCGGCTTATATCATAAAAAATATGTACTCCCATTTTCCATACTATTCCATATAGGACTAGGTACATGAGTTTTAGGACATAACTTTTGTTGCCATTTTCTAAAATAAAAGAAGCCTGTTACTCCTTAGTACATCAGCTACCTGCCAGTAAAATTCCCGTCAAAATCGGTCCAGCCATTTCAGAGGTTAGCCAGAACAGACAGATAGACAAAAATAAAAAAAAGTATTTTGGTATATGTATCGTATGTATATTCAAACGCATGTAGTAAAAAGTAGTTATTTCAATAATACAAACAGACGCCAATTTTAATTATCTACATAGATTTTCCTTTCTATAAATCCTCTTTTAAAATCAATGGCTTCAACATAGTTTTATACCTTCTCATGTTCTCTTCCAAAGTCCATACCAAGAGATACGAATACCTTTAATTTCGTTATTTATTTTCATTATCATTATGTTAGTATAAATAAAAATCATAATGGAACTAGACCTCGGGACATTTTTATTACACGTATTCTTTATAATATTAATATAATATTTACAAAAATTTAAAGCATCATTTCCTCCTATTTCTATTATTTTTACTTCTTTCCGGTTTTTTATCTGTAGCCAATTCTTGTTGCAGTTTCTTGAGCATCTGTGGCGTGATTAGGCCCTGTAAGCAAATAAACACTTTATTTATAGAGTAGTTAATAATCATTACTTCTTACATTATAGCCAAAGAAATATGTGACTAAGAACTACTCAACCAATCTCCTTGATTTTTGCATACATTAGTTGGGGGTGCGAAGAAGAAAGGTAAGCCACGGGAAATTCAGATGGACAGTGCCGCGGTAAAAAACTAGTGTAAAATTATAGATTATAGATTTAGTAAGCTTACCTTAGCAACGAGCATGTCAGAGAGTTTAGGCTTGCTCTCTTCCCCTTTAGGCCTCGTATGCGAGGAGCCAGCACGAATCGCCCTCTTATTGTTCAGAGCTTGAATTTGCGGGTCGTCACGAAGTACTTGTTCTGAGTTTCTTAACAATCTGCGAATTATAATTAATTGTGAGACACAATCGGTATTTTTATCGCTAGATCACAATAACCTTATAACATACTAGCGACCCGCCCCGGCTTTGCACGGGTGCAATATGCATGTATTATACATATAAACCTTCCTTAAGAATCACTATCTATTTAAAAAAACCGCATCAAAATCCGTTGTGTAGTTTTAAAGATCTAAGCATACATAGGGACAGACAGGCGGCGGATAGCGACTTTGTTTTATACTATGTAGTGATCTAAATCTATTATAACTATCGGAAACAATTTTTTTTCATCGTGTCTTGTGTCACATGTCTTGCAATGCTGCATGAGCAGTCATTAATGAGAATTAGCCTCTAGCGTGGCTGAAATGAAACAGATGGGGCCCAAATAGGGCTGATGCCAATTCGGAGTCGCGGAGAACCTAACGGATAACCGGGCTCCGGGTCGACGTGCAGGAGAAGGAACGGGGTGGTTTTTAGTCAGTCTTTTAAGAGTCTGACACTCCCTCCCGCCTCACCCAGGCGGGAGCAGTCATTCGATGATTTTCCCCCCTTTAAAAAAAAAGCGTGGCTGAAAACTAGTCAATCAAACAGTTACGTAAATAATTAACCAAAATTAAATATCGAAACTAATTTTTCTTAGCCCACGAGACGAATAGAAGTTCCCTCCTTACCTAGTAATTTGGAATATTCCTTGCTGTATGATAGCGTCTAATTCGAGTTCCATGTCACGCACCAACTTCACATCCGGAAACATGTCAGCAAACCGATAACTGTGAACAAGAAAAAATTAGGTATAATAAAGTTAGTTGTTTAACTTGTCGAGTACCGTCATTATAGACACAATTATAGAACAATAGGTTGCGGTCACCGGTGACCGCTTGGTGTTTGACAGTTTAATATTACACATAGAAGGAACACGCATAGGTAATACCGTCGTCAGTTGCCGCTGCATAACTGCCATGGACTCATTCAAGCAAACATTTACTAAAATGTTGTATGTAAAACATTACTGTGGATATCACATACATTTTATAACGAGAAAACGTGTAGAACTAGAAGACTTAATATTCCGAATATTATATGTATTAATAAATAAATAAGTAAGAAGTAAACACTACACACTACTATGCGTCTGACACACATATTTGTACACTATCTATTTTACGTACACAATATATTATTATAATTATTAAAAATGTATTTTATTTATATGATTAATAAGGTAGAAAGTCCACCACTGAATGACCACTTGTTTTTATAAATAAGCAACATTTTAAATCAAACAAAAGTTGACGTAAAACAATTAATAATCTTAATGCTGCTTTTATTTTTATTACTTCTTGACAAATAAGGTAAACAATAGTAGTACAAGAACAATAACAATAACATATCTACCTATTTTATCTATCACACACCGGTATGTGCAAAATATTCAAGAGACTGATTATGCTAAATTCTTAGGTGTCTGGATCGATAAAAAGCTAATGGAAAACCCACATTGACAATATTTGCAAAAAGCTTAGCCATCTTTACAGCTTAAGAAAAAAAAAACAATCAGCCGTGTAAAAATGGCAAATCAGCAGCTGTAGCCAAATGCCACTTAGCGCTTGTCTACGTGTAGAATAGAAAACAAAATTATATGGAATTGACGTAAATTTGGACACTTGTCAGCGTCATCCCCATACATTTAGTTTTCTACTCTCTCTGTAAACAAGCGCTAAAGTGGCGTTTGGCTAAAGGCGCTGGCGTTGCAGGTGTCCATAGGCGACGCTCTACCTCCTACAAAAATGTTCACAATACAGGGTGTAAATGGAACGCTCCCGAAACGCCGACAAAAAAAATTGTTTTTGTTTTATTCATTTTCCTTCTTGACGCTATAACTCCAGAACGCACGAACCGATTTCCACGGTTTTGCATTCGTTGGAAAGGTCTCGGGCTCCGTGAGGTATATAGCAAAGAAAATTCACTTTTGATCACCAAACGAAATGTTACATAAAACGAAGCCATCTGGTGGCGAAACGGAGTTCGCCGGGTTTTCTAGTTATTACATAAAAGCAACATTTAATTCCTGATTTTTATTTTCTTTTTTTTATGGCATTAGCCGGCAATCGAACAGACGGATCACCTGATGGCAAGCACTCGGCGTCGCCCATGAACACCTGGAACACCTGAGGCGTTACAAGTGCATTACCGGCCTTTTCGTGGTTTGAGGATGGTTGGGAATTCGGGGATTGGGGAAGGGGGGTTGGGGCTCCGGTAACCTCACTCACACGACGTAACACAACGCAAGCGTTGCTTCACGTCGGTACTCTGTGAGGCCGTGGTATCGCTCCGTTCAAGCCTGCCCATTCGTGCCGAAGCATGGCTCTCCCACACTTATGAAAATAAAACTTGTTTTTTAACAGTTACTTGTCGCCGTTTTTCGTTTCGGGAGCGTTCAGTTAACAATCTGTATATTATGCAATACATACCTTAGCCATAAATAAAGTTCTAGGACATCAAACACGGATTCGAGATGCACTAAGTCCATGATAGTTTTAGGAGCCGGGAGTGGCCAGTCCACTGCGTTACACATCCAGTTCTTCGTTAGAGGCTCGTTGCGGCTGTATTGTCGCACCATCTGTAATAAATTGATATTTAAAATAAACATTTTTTCGTGTTCAAGATGGGTCTCTGTCATTTATTCATTATAGAGTATGGAGTTCAGAATTTCGAGTAAAATAGTGTTATTAGAGAAAGGTGTGGATTGAAAGATGATGTATTGACAAGGAAATGTTACGCTGGTTGGACATGTAGAAAGGATGGATGAAAGTAAATTACAAAACAAATATACAGAGCGGATATTAATATTAACCCATATATCCCCAAGCGGTTACCGGTGACCGCTCTCCACTAACATTACATTAGATTATAGACCTTATTTCCAATGTTTAGAGATTACTTTTGTATGACCAAATTTAAGGGATGGATTTCAACGGGCCACCGGTCGAGGGCGCCCTAGACGGACATATACTGAACAGATTGGCGATATATGTATTAAAGAAGGGCAAATTAAAAGTACCCTTAACCGATGAGCATGCATGATAAGATTGATGAATCTTGATGAAGTGAAAGAGGTATGTAGGAATTGGCGTTCCATAGTCTCTGCCTACCTGCCATGGGAGACAAGCGTAGAGTTATGTACGTATGTATAGAATTACATGTGGTGTATGGCAATATAAAAACCCTCTATTACGAGAGACTGATACCACTGACCATAACAAGAAAAATGCAAGTCGTAATCATCGTAAGTTTGCACAAGACAAAATTTAATCAATTAATGTACATTAAGAGTACTTTTAAAACGCATAGGTATTTGCCCACCTCTTTCGAGGAT